TTTTCTGACTCCTATTCGATAAAAGCAAACAAAGAATTTTGATGGGTGAGATTATGTTTTCCTAATTACTTCTAACTAATTGAAAATATCAAAATCTTGCAAACAACGATTGATTAAAGATTCAAATACATGATGAATATTAGGGCAAAACAATTTCATCTATTGATCACTTTAATTCTTAATTCAAGATCTTAACCTAATGTAGTGTTCAGTCGAATTCGTCTATTGTATTCAATTTACCCTTCTTGAGTTGTCATTGAGCCTATTTAACTAATTCAATTTCATATTTTTATGCGAATTACCCTTAGTTAAACGAAACACTAGTTCTAAAAATTCATGACCGCAATAATTAGTATAGGTATCTCTACACATTATAGTAATTTACCGAATTTTATTATATAGTCTAAGTCTTAAACTCACCACTCGATTCGTAAGAGATTCACATAATCATCAAATTATTGATCAGGTAATTTAATGCATTAAACTCAAAGTAAAACCAACACATAAGAATAAATCACATAAATCTTGAATATAAAAATAAATGATCACAAGTCGATTACATTGTTTTCCCTAATCTGAAGTTTAGTTACTCACAATTTAAAAATAAAAACTAAAAGTAATGGAATGGAATGCATCACCGGATTTTAATAAAGCTATAGAAACGAATTAAATCTTGAACCAAGATCTTATTCTGCTTCCAATCAACGCTTTAAACTTGAATTCCGTGATGACTCTCTTCTTTCAATTGGGCTATTCGATCTCTCATTGTATCCCCCCTTTCTCAATGTGTGGAACCCCTTATTAGTGCCTCCTTAGGTCCATTTATACTTCCCTACACGTCCTTGGCCAAATTGGAGTTTTTTTCTGAGCTTCTCGCGGCACAATCAACAAAAACATAAAATAGGCGGTGCAGCGCCTAGGAGCCGTGATATGTGTCCAGGCAGCGCCTGGGTGCTATGGTGGCGCTGCCTCGCTGAAAATCTTCTGCATCTGCTTCAGTATTTTTGTCATAACTTTTTCTTCCGATATCCGATTAAGGCAATTCAAAATGTGTTGGAAAGATAACTCAAAGAGCTAAAAACTTTCTAGACATATCTCTTTTTCAATTCGAACGTTTACTTGGCCAAAATTGGGTCTCAATCTCCAATTAAAAATCTGGACATCCTTATGCAGTTGAAAATTGATTTGCAAAATATTTTAATTATATTTTCACTCCTTTTGACTTTTAATTGTATCCAATTGACCCCTAAAATTCTCAAGTTTTCATCGTGAGCTCCGACACATCTTTTGAATATTTGCACTTTAGCTCCTAAACTTTGGATCTTGCCATTTTCGCCAATTTTTCACTTCTTTTCTCCAATTTTTCATCAAATATAAAATTTATACCTACAAAGATGCAATATAATATAAATTATGTAAATTTTTTTCGAAATAATAATAAAATATCATCATTTAGGGTCTCGAATAAGTGTAGAAACTACACTTATCAGTATTCCTTACGGTCCTAATTCTTCCCTATAAATATGGGGTCTGGTTCTCAATGAAATGCACACAAATCTATTGGCATCTCTACTTTTTTCTCTTTTTCTCTCTATTTTATAACAAAAATTCAATCATTGTTTCATATAAATAGGCACATAAGCATAGCACATTAGTTGGCAAATTAAGAGTGACATAAGTGTTTGTTTGTGAGAGATTATTCGAAGTGAAAAATAAATTTTTAAGAAAATATATGCTTAAAAAACAAGGAAAGTTATGGATCTAAATATAAAATTATTTTATTGAAAGAATGTATGATTAAAATTGTACTTGTGAAACAATAATTTTTAAATAAGCTGTACTAAACAAACGCTAAGTCAATTTGAATGGCCCAATTTTCATACTATCTTTAAATTGGACTATGGAAAAAGACATTCATATGTATTTTAATTTTATTTTTTATATTACATTAAATGTTATCAATACTTACTAAATAACTGTTCCTTATTTTACAGCATGTTAACATACTTTTTGAATGAAAATTATCATAAGTGAATATATGTTTTAATTAATGGAACGTTGATGACATGAATACAGTGAAAAAAAGTTTGGGGATGTAATGTAATAATAAGTAAATATTAAAAACCATTTAATGTAACTAAAATATAATGCATTTATCAAAAAAAATATGATGTAAATATTACGTCCACAAATTAATTAAAATTTGCAGCTTAAAAAAAGATTGAAAGCACCCATCCACATTATGGGCAAGTAATAATTAATCAAACTTCCCCCATCAAGTTTTAATTATCAAGCAACCATTGTTGACAAAGTCATTAGTAGACTTGATATATTTTCAACACATCAGCATTAAACACTTTTGAAAAAAGTAAAAAGAAAATCAAATAATAAACATAACAAAAATGAGAAAACCACTTGATTGACGATCTCATTGATTCTGAAAGATGTCGAGAAAATTTTCAAAATTGAAAAAGTTCATGACCAAGAGCAACTAATATCTTAAGCCTTACCACCACGGTTTAAATAGCCAAATAACTATAAGAAAACTCGAATATGGCTAAAGAAAATAATGCCATAATGACAATGATTAACAAGAAAACAATAAACTTTTTCCATCCGACTTCGAATGGACTGCCTATGCCGAAGGCCATTCCATCCATCCTCGGATTATTTCTCTTCTTTTCCTTTCAATAGAGCGATTTCATACCTCTCCCTTTGGTCTCGCTCCCTACCATCCAACCTCTACCATAGGCCTTTATCTGACCAAGTATACAAAGATGAAAGCAGATATGGCGAATGAAGTAGGGCATTCAATCTCATATCCAAAGGTGGTCCACGTGCCTATAAAATGTCATATATGTTAGAGAAATATATACAATCAAATAGAAAATGGGAGACGCTTGGTTACAATTTCGAATCCAATATTATATGTTTGCCCAAATTTTGTATTTGTAAGAGTAAAAAAGGGTCCAAATCTCATCCAATTTCATTCAAACAAGAATTTCAATCAAATTAAGCTAGAAATTTGCACACTATGTCCTGTTTATACCCGCGCGAGTGTGCCGAGTATTCAAATACGGGCGCATTCCTTGGAGCTATAGCTATCATTAAATTATTAGACAAGCGGCACGGAGGTGCAGGCTTTTTTCACTCGGGCGCGGCTTCTCAAGTTTGGGACCAATTTGTAATTGATCCCTAAACTTCTTGATGGCTCGCCTAGGTAATTTCTTCTTGCAAATTTCATCCTTCTACTTCCATTTTCATCTACTTGATTCCAACCATTCTTCTATCATCAATATTAAGTCTGGATCAACTATTAAAAGTGTGCAATTTAGTCCCAAACTTTTAATTTCTTCCTTTTTGCTCATTTTTCACTCCTTTAGTTTGTCTCGAGTTTTACCTAACAAACGTAATGAATACAAAATTAAACTATAATTCATCAAAATCAATAACAAATATCCTATTTTAATAGTTCAGATAAGTGTACAAAATAAATTTATCAAGATGTTTCGTAAAAGAAGACCTAATCTAAAGTCGGACTTTGGAGGAACTGCCTATGCCTAAGGCCATTCCATCCATCTTTGGAATTTTCCTCTCTCTCTTTTTAGTCGAGCGATTTCATACCTTTCCAATGTCATATGCCTTTATCTAATAATGTATACAAAGATGAAAGCAACTAGTACAAATGAAGTGGGGCATTCAATCTCATATCCAAGGGTTATCCATGAGCCTATGAAAGGTCATATCTCATGGATAACTATACACTAAACAATCAAATAGAAAATGGGCGAGGCTTGGTTATAATTTCAAATCCGTTGTTATATGTTTGCTTTAGTTTTTCGTTGGATACAATGTAACACTTTCTTGTCAATTCCTCGAGCTGCAGTACTCGTCGACCAGAGCAGGCTTAAACTCTTCTCCTCATTCTGGTCCCAACAATCCATTAATGCCATTATCTTATTGGCATCACATATTTCTAGAAAATGAATGGCTTTTCGGAGTAGAACTTTTGGTCCCCACCAATGGATTTATTGTCCAAAGTGTCGACAGTTGTCGTATAGAATGTTTCTTTATGACATTATTATTATTATTTTTGTTTTACAAAAATGTATTCTATTCTTCAAAGTTGCTTTTACAGTAATGAAGTTATTCCAATTTCACGTGCTTGCTCATCTGTCAATTGACCAATAAACAAAATAGATTATTCATTAATTTAAAAAATTGCAGGCACATTTCCATGAGAAGGTTAATTGATTTTCATTGTTAATCTAAGTCTTCCACGTGAGGAGATTCAACAAACCCGGATGCCCAATTCATGGTTGATATGATTTAATTGAAAAATTCCTGTTGGGTCCTCATTAATTCCCCCCCCCCCTAAATTCAGCTAAGGAAAATGTAACACATCACTAAATCATTGTTAGCAAATAGCAAAGTTTTGATGTAATATATGTAAGTGAGGTGTTAAAGTTTTGATGGTGCGACAGTCAATAGAACAACCGGAGAGAGAAATCAAACCTAAACTCTTCTGAAAAAGAGCTCGCATTAAAGGCATAAATAATTTTCATAAAATTATATATTTTTTTTTTTCGAAACGAAAACCAGACTCAATGCGTGTGTGATTTTCACAAAAATGCTAACAGTTTTCACAAAACATAAAGGATTACAACAAATTAAATAAATACATAATTCGATTTGAGATTTTTTGTGCTCCACTTAATTTTTAACAAATTATTACATCGGTTCTTGTTAATAAAATGGAAAGACGTCTTTTTAAAGGGTATATCAATTTTGATGTACTTTGTTGGTATTTTCCCACCCAAACAAACTAATTTGTGAGACAACATATCTAAACTCGAAGGTACCGAGAAATTGTTATGGTTTCATTTTCATCAAGTTAATGGGTTTTTCCGTAACATTTTCAGACCATTGACTCTCTCTCTCTCTCTAAAATCTCTTTCTACAATATGCTTCCCACTTTCTCTCCCAAGAAATCCAAGACAATGGAAATCAACAACAGTTTACGCTCCGTCAAATCTCATATTTCTTTGAGTAATTGTACATGGCTTTTTATTACAATTCTTTTACAGGTTTTCATTATAGTCTACCTCAACCGTGCTTCGCCGGCGCCGCCGTCTCTACCCTCCATCCGCCACCAGTTTCAGGCCCCTTCTCCAGAAGATCAAACTTGCAAATACGGAAGGATATACGTATACGACCTTCCACCTGCTCTCAACAAAGAGCTTTTAGAAAATTGCAGGGATTTAGATCCCTGGAGTTCCCGGTGCAACGCCGTGTCTAACGATGGTTTCGGGCCGAGAGCCACGGGCCTCGACGGAGTCGTGCCGGAGAATCTTGCTCCAGCATGGTACTGGACAGATATGTATGCTGCTGAAGTGATTTATCATGCCAGAATGTTGAATTATAAGTGTAGAACCCTAAATCAAGAAGAGGCTAATGCTTTTTATATTCCATTTTATGTTGGACTTGCAGTAGGGAAGTATTTATGGTTTAATTACACATCAAAAGATCGAGATCATCATAGTTTGATGATGCTCAATTGGGTTAAAAATCAGCCTCCATGGATTACCACCAACGGCTCTGATCATTTCATCATGCTGGGGAGATTAACATGGGATTTTCGAAGATTGACAGATAGTGACACTGAATGGGGAACAAGTTTCATATACATGCCTTTGATGAAAAATATTTTGCGTTTATCAGTAGAAAGAAGTCAATGGGATCCAATGGAAATCAGCGTTCCTTATCCCACTGCATTCCACCCTCGATCCGAATCCGATATACTTCAATGGCAAGACACTCTTCGTGCACGAAAACGAACAAGTCTCTTTTGTTTTGTTGGCGCTACGCGTAAAAAGATCAAAAATGATTTTCGAGGGGTACTAATGAGTTATTGTAAGAACGAATCCGAGTCGTGTAGGGTCGTAGATTGCTCGATAACACATTGTTACGACGGTGCACCCTCGATTCTTGAAGCCTTTTTGGATTCGGATTTTTGCCTACAGCCTAAAGGGGATGGTTTTACTAGAAGATCTATGTTTGATTGCATGTTGGCCGGTTCGATCCCGGTTTATTTTTGGAGAGGAAGCTTTGAAAATCAGTATGAATGGCATATGCCTTTAGAAGCAGAAACTTATTCAGTGTTCATTGACCATAAGGATGTGAGAAATGGAACTTCCATTAGAAGAGTTTTGGAGGGTTATAGTAGAGAAAAAGTTAGAAAAATGAGAGAGAAAATAATTAATTTTTTGCCCAAGTTTTTGTATGGAAGATCTGATTCGAGTTTAGGGAATTTTACAGACGCGTTCGATATTTCCATGGATGGAGTTTTGAGAAGGTTTAAGCACGAAAAGGCTATGAGGGGATGAATCAGGTAAACATAAAACATTAGGAAGAAGAAGAATTGATTATTTTTGCAATTTAATTACTTTTTTTTTGTACATATAGTTCTTGAAAAGTGTTGTTGATTTTGATGTATACAATTGGCAAGATGCAATAATCTTGAGTATCAAGAATTTTTCAATGAATTTAAAACTATTATTTACATGTTGTTTGCTTAATGTATTGATTGTGTAGTTTCTTCTTTATGCTTTTCTTCACGATAAGGATTTCAAGAGATACCGTCCAAAAATTTCAAGAATAAACAAAACTTATTCTAAATAATGAAACAAATTTTGAATATTGCATATGCACAAGTTTTATTCATCAATACTATTTAATTTAACAAAGAAAAAACATTTAGGTGTGCTCTCAACCTTTGAGAAATTCAATTGGAAAATATTATAGCAATGGTATTTAAATAACAAGTTAGTCCTCAACCTTTATTATATTTACAAAATAAGTTGTGGAAGGTTCAAATCTCCATTAAATCATATAGGTATGATGTTCCACTTACGAATTAATTGACTAGTCGAGTTCATGTTGAAAGTTGAAATAGTACGCTCTCATGTTTCTATGTGTAAAATGACCAACTTAGATGGATTCTACAACCGAGAACCAATTATGCAATTACAATTGAATGATAAGGATCAAAAGTGCTTTTTTTAACAGTTTTAGATTAACTTGCTAGTTGGGAAATAAGTCGAGGACCAAAATGAAAATTTCACATTCAATGATGTTACAAGTCTTCAATCAGATCCTTGTGTAGCGGAAAGTTAATTAGGTAGAAGAGCTCCTTGGGACCATTGTTGAATCGAATTCTCCAACTTAATTATTAAAGAATAAGCTAATTAATCTTCTTTTAGATTATGAAAATTGGAAATTAATTCTTTTCTACCACTTCTATGATTTTGTCTAGGTCACCACCCTACATGAATAGTACGAATCCATTTTATATAGTGGAAAATTTTTAGAAGGAATGGAGAGTGGCCAAATTCAATATATATATTCTTTTTTCAAAATTTTATCACTCGACCAACTTAACCAAATGGTGGAGTTGGCTGAGTATGTAGCTCAATCAACTTGATCATTTAAAATACTTCTTTCAACTTTGAAATTAAAGATTCAACTGGAAGATACTAATTGCCACCTAACAAGCAAAAAAAAAGAAGAAAAACATGATTGCTACCCTCTTCTCGAAAGTCATGTTGAAATTTCGTCACTCAACAACTTAACCAAATGGTTGAATTGGTTCTTGGTTGAATACGTGGCTCAATCAATCTAAAAAATTATTCGACTGATTTCAAGTATTTTTTAGTCAGGGGTGGACAATTTGTAATCATTTTAACAAAAATATAGCGAAAACAAATTAAACCTACTTTTAATATATATTTAATTGAAAACTTAACTTATAAAAAAGCTATAGATGATTTAGATGTGTGTATTTAGATGATTTCAAGAAAATGGCATGTTAAGTGGGGAAAATTTAATAAGGGTATATTGGTAAAGGAACACAACATAATATTCTACATTAGGAAACATGTCTATATATTTGAAACAAGAGAAAAAGGAAACCCAACCTATATAATTGGGACGGAAGGAGTATTAATTTTGTAATATTTCATTATCCTAAATTTGATTTTCTTTAGTTCGTTTGAGATTCAACAATTTTTCCTAACAAATTGGTATTAAATATTATTTTTACAACACATAAAGTATTTCATAATATCGTGCAATGCACGTTCAACTCTGAATAGTACAAATAAACTTCTCTTTATAAATAGAATAATTCATAAATCTTGTCTTTTACTTACCTTTTCCTTTTTCCTTGTGGGAAAGTAATCATGTAGAGTTAATTTCACCTGTCTGAACTAACGTTTGGGAAAACATTAAGTTAGTCCTTAAAGTATTTTTCTTACCCTATTGGTCATTGAAGTTGATAACGGTTTAACAATTCGTCACTCGATTACTGAAACTAACGCTAAGTTTCACATGACAAGATTACTTTAAATGATAAATGAATTTGAGAATTTTGTCAAATATATTTAGAGTATTAGTGCAACGAATTGATAGCATTTAGTTCAATTTGATACTTGCGGATGACAGATCAGTTTATACATCAATAACAGATAGATCGATTTGAACTAAAACAGTAAAGAAAATACTTTTAAAATCAGCCTATATTATTACCAACTTTTTAGGCGGCAGAGCGGTAGGAAGCACGAAATGTGCGATGATAATGAATAGTAATTTTAAATATGCAGTTGAAATTAAAGTTTGAACTTCGATAGGATAGTAAAAATAACTTTTAAATTACTAAAAGTTTTTCCTAAACGTAAGCTCAATTTAAAATCTTGCACAGACAATGAATAAAATAAATATATTGTCACCATCTAACAATAGCAACAAGGATAATGATCATTAAAAATTGATATATCGTGGCCAACAAGTTGAGCAATTTGCAGGCTGTCTTGATAAAATAGAAAGCGATATTTGAGCTCAGAAAATACAATAAAATAAGTACTTAATTTAATCATGATAATGTTAATCAATTACAGGTAGGTTTCTTCAAATGTGGTGTACAAAACAAATTAGTCGGTGCTAATGTCAGCCAATTAAATATAATTCATTTCTTTATATAAATTATTGTCGTGGTAGTTGGAGAACAGTACATACAACGCCAAAAGCTGTAATACATAAGGAATCCGAGAAACATTTTCAAGTACACATTGTGAAATCTAGTAGGCTCTGATTATTTTCAAATTATTAATTTCTTCAGACAAATTCTAAGTTAAATTTAATTGCTCAAGAATAAATATTTTAGTAAAAAAATTCCTAACCTGACACGAACAACAATTACGTCAAACTATATAACTTATTCATTTTCAACTTTGATCTACAAAAGTTTATTTATTTTCTAACTTGTTTGCTAGTAAGTCCTTCTTAAACTTGGCAAAAAATTTCATGGAATCTCATTGTTGGTAAATTTCTCAAATTTCGTAAAGACTGAAGACAAAAATGTAAATATTTCTAATTATAATTATGACGATTGATAAGTGCATTTTGTGCACTTATTAAGACCATATTACTAAGATTTTGCGTCGTTTCATTATTGGATTCTACTTAACTTAGGTTAATTCTATCTTATTTCAGTTTTGGACCCATTTCTAAGCAATTGGAAAAGAAAGAAGGATAAACTGGCAAAATTGATGGAAGTTCGAGGGAAAAATATGCATTTGAGTAAAAGTTAAAGCACTTAAATTGAAGTTATTTGATGTGAAGGACCAGCTGAAAGAAAGAATGAAGAAAATGACTGATTAGAAATTCGCGAACTTATTTATAACTGGGTAGTCGCTCAGTTATATGCCGCCCAACCCTCAACCCTATTTACAGGAACAACATGTTATGGCTGGGCGCCCGCCCGGCCAAATCGAGAAAAAAATTCTGGATTTCCTAATCCGATTCCAACTCTTATGGAAACATTATTTAGGTCATGTATATAACCTTAAAACGTCCAAAAAACGGGGGCTACGCATTCTTAGAAAGAAAAACAACATTGAAGAGCAAGGAAGAGGGCTAGAACAAGAGATTTCATTCAAGATTCAAGATTTCAACCCTAAATTCTAGTTTTTTTGGTGATGTCTTCTCTTTATTATTCTTATTGTTCTTTGTTCTTATTCATGCTAGGTTAGACTTTTTATGTATTAGGTGAACGATAAACCTTGCGATATGATCTTTTAATTCTCTATTTTGCAATTTGATTTTAAACACGATTGATAGATGTTGAATGATTTATATATACTTTCGTACCTCCATAATTAAATGCATGTGATTATGTGAGTTTGTGTGATCTATTTTATGCATTCAAAAGAAGGAAAATAGATTTTACAAGATATAAATCGTCGTAGGGTCCGATAGGGGATAAAAATATACTTCTATTCTTTACGCGAATCTCTAAGTGTTTACAAAATATCACGCATTCTTGTATATTGCATTTGTTATAGAAATATAGTCAAATGGTATTCAAGAATATGTTCAATTCTACTCGAAATAGATTATTGGATAAGTTAGAAACATTGATTCTTTAACCAATTCATCGTGTTATCGAATTGTGAAATAGATGTTAAAAGTGAGCTTACTTGGTGATTCGGGATCCTAGTGCGTCGTTCATTCATCAATTTCATCAAATTTTGGCATTTAACATAATTTTACATTCATTTACTAACCTTAGTTTAAATTACATTTTAGTCATAGTTTATTTATAAAATTCAAATAATCAATCATGTTGAGTTAAATAGATTCGGTTAAGGTCTCGATAATAGAAATCAAATTCAATCAATCCTCGTGGGACGATAATCGAAATTTTATAATTTCCACTTTATTACTTGTTAGCGAACCGTGCACATGCGGTGATTTACAAAACGAACATATTTTCATGAACAACAATTTTGAAGATTTTTTTTTCTATAGCTTTATTGTTTTCATAATTGGTTGTACATTGTTGCATTGACCGATATCCTTCAATTATATTCTTGTCATCTAAAAGTATATATTTCAACTTAGTATCACAACTTCAATAACCTACCATGGGTCTTGCTATCCTTGTTTCTCGTAAAGCATATTGAGAACTACTACATGTACAGAATTTGTGTTTGACAAAAATGAGATGACAGTTTTTTGGCTCTTGATTTCAATCTCATTCATTCAAATCAAGGGTCAAAAAAACTCCTATCTCACATTCTGTTGACAAATCTATAGCTCATTTTTTGTATAAGTAGCAAAATTGAAGCATAATTACTATTGAGTTGGTGGTCCTAACTTTTGTTTATACGTATGTAATGCTTTTGTGAATAAGTTCACCACATTATTATTTGATCGAATTTGTCGAATATCGATATCATTAATCTTTTAAAGCTTATGCGTATGAAAGAATTTTGAAGAAATATGTTTCGTTCTATCTCCTTTGATATAACCTACTTTGAGTTGTGTA